TATAGCTCTTAATAAGTATATTGCTAAGGCTATCTATATTAATAACTACCTTTATACTAGAAAGTAGTAGAGGAAAGGACAATAGAGGTTAATCGTTAGAGGGAACTAGGCTAATAAGGGGAAGAAACGATATATAAGTATATCCTATAGTATATAACCTGGACCTATAGAGGTTAATATAGTCTAGATTTAGTAGTCTAATAAATAGCCCTATAATAAGACTAGTATCACCTACTATAATTATAGGAAGAAGGGCTATTATAAACGAGAATATAGGAGCCTATAAAGGTAGAATAGAATACTAGGATAATAGTCCCTAGTACTAGGATAAGAAGCTATCGTTATTAAGAGAGGAGTTAAGTTTAAGGAAGTTACTACTAGTAATATCGATCAGGATAACATTGACTATACCTACTATAAAGAAGAACTCTATAGGGACTATAATAATAAGGAAAGGTTCAGATTTAGAAGGGAAGATAAGGAATTTTTAGATATCTTAGAGAAATACAGGGAATAACCTACTAAGTCTATCGATAGTGATGATAAATACCTCTATATCGATAAGCTTAGATAGACTATACCTTACTTTAAAAGAACCAATATCTCTAAGTATAGGGGCTAGATACTAACCTAGGATTCCTAGGGCTAGTAGTATACTACCTAGGAAGGAGAAAAACCTAGGCTTAACCTCTAGTACCTTAGGAAGAAAGTACTTAAGTCCTATAATAAGATCGATGACCTCTGGCTATTAATTAGGGGGTTAAAGAACGAGGTCGTTAGCCTATAAAGATAGGTCTAGGATAGAGCCCGCGAATAACGATAACTCCTAGAGTATAATGAGATCTAGGAGGAAGAGCTAGACTAGAGGTAGTATAAAAATAAGAGACTTTAGAAGATCAATAAACGACTTATAGGATAAGGGTAACCTATACTATAGGCAGTCGAGTAGTTAAAAGAACACTAAACTATCAACGTTACTAGCCAGGGAGTAGATAGGAGTGCCCTATAATACTAAAAGGATTTAGGAAATGACTATAGGCCCTCTAAGGGGCCTACTAACTACTAAGCTTAGAAACTAAACGATAGGTTATATAGTATAGGTAGAACTAGTATAAATAAAGACCTTATAATAACCTTCTAGCTAGCCTAGTAGAGGTAGCTACTATTTAAGACTGAAGTTAGGATAATCGACTTTAGGTTACCGCTAGGTAGAATCAGCTATAGGCCCTGATATTAGTAGATAGTAGGTCTTAAATAGACCTTATCAGTCCTACCTTAGTCAATAGATATAGGATCCCCTAGAGAATAAAGAAAGAACCTTACCTAGTATAAGGACTATTCCTAACCTAGATAGTTAGAAGAGAAACTAAACTATTTAACATTAAGGTAGAAGGGAAAACTATAAAGGTAGTGTTTAACATTATAGATATAGGAACTATTAAGGATATAATTTTAGGATTACCCTAGTATAAGGATTATAACCTAGACATTAGTTAGAAGGATAGTAGCTACCTATAACTATATAAACTATAGAAATATCTGACTAATATAATAGGAAGTATAGAACAGGAGCTATAATAGGGCGAAGTATAGGAAAATATAACCCCTATAGGCCTACTATAAGAAACAGTTAGTAAGAAATAATAAGCTCTAGATTCTAGGAAATATAGTCTATAACAATAAAGGAAGATATAGACTGACCAAGAAGTTACTATCGTCTTAGTTAATATAAGAGGAAAGCTTATAATCGAGCAATAGGTTAGCCTAGCAAAGGTAATAAGCATTAAGTATAGAGGAGAAAGGATCGATAAGCTCGAGGTTATAAGCGCTAAGTCAGAAAACGGTAAGTTCATCTATTATAGAGGAACCACGAAGACTATAGTAACTAGCAAGGTTCCCCAAGAATACAAAGGATACCTAGCGTTTCAAGCTAAATACCTTAAAGGGCTTCTAGAATATAGACCTTAGGACTATAAAATCAAACTTAAGGAAGGAGTATAGCTGAAGTTCTTTAAGGTCTACTATACTAACGAAAAACAAGACGCTAAGTTAAGGAAATACTTAGATAATAACCTAAAGATTAGATATATCTAGCTATCGACCTTACCTACTAGATACCCTATATTATTTATCCCTAAGAAGGATAGGAAACTTAGGATATATATAGACTATTAATAGCTAAATAGTAAGATAATCAAGAACTAGTATCCTCTACTATTAATCTCGAGGCTTTAGGACTAGTTAGCTAGAGTATAATACTTTACTCGTCTTAACCTACTAATAGTATATACCTATATTTATATTAAGAAGGGGGATAAATGGAAAACAGGTTTTTAGATGCCCTATAGGCATTTTAAGTACCTGGTAATACTATTCAGACTTACCAATATACTAGTAACATTCTAAGCTACAATCGACTATACTATTTAACCCTATCTCAATAAGTTTATAGTATATTACTTAGATAATATTCTTATCTACTCTAAGATACTTAAGGAATATCGACGATATATATAATAAGTGCTCGATATACTATATTAATACTAGATATCGGTCAATAAGGAGAAAAGTAAATTTCATATCTAGAAGACAATCTTCTTAGGATATAAAATCTCGCTAGGAAAGGTTAAGATCGAACCCTAGAAGATCTAGGTAATTATAGAATGGCTAATGCCTACTAATACTACTAAGGTCTAAGGGTTTATTAGATTTATAAACTTTATTTAGATATTTATCCTAAAGTTCAGCGATATTATATAACTACTATATAAGCTTACTAAGAAAGGAGCAGAATTTAAGTAGGGAGATACCTAAGAGTAGATATTCTAGAAGATCTAATAGAGTATCTTAGCAGACCTAGTACTCTTATTACCTAACCCTAACCTACCTTTTAAGGTAGAAGCTGATATATCGAACTTTATAATTAGAGGATAACTTAGATAGAGGGACGAGAATAGGAAGTTATACCTAGTAGCATTCTTCTTAAAAAAGCTAGATAGGCCCTATCTTAACTACCCTATCTATAATAAGGAGCTACTTACTATTATTAAAGCATTTTAAGAATAGAGACCTTACCTTAGTAAAACTACTTACCTAGTATAGGTCTATACTAACTATAAAAACCTCAAGTACTTTATAATAACTAAAGTCTTAAATGGACGATAAACTAGATAGGTAGAATTCTTATTAGAATTTAATTTTATAATCAACTATAAGAAGGGTATAGAAAATATATAAGCAGATATCCTAAGTAGGAGAATAGATTACTAAGGTAATATACTAAAAAACTTACTAGTACTATTATAATAATAGGTAGATAGTATCCTTTACTATACCTTATAATAGGTTAAAGACTATAAGATTATAGCTGTTTACCAATAGATAGAGGAGGAGAAAGTACCTTTATAACCGTTTATAGAATGTTATATAGTTTTTAGGGAAGAAAGAGGAGGATAGGATTTCTAAGGAACTATTACTAGCGGGGAATAGGCTAACTAGGAGATAGACCTAGAGGTAAGTACCCCTAGCCTATAACTAGATAGGATAAGACTCTAGTATTATAATAAGGCCTATATTAAAACTAGGGATTAAAAGGACCTTATACTCGAGGTTTACTAGTCGAAACTCAGAGGATATATAGGAATTGTAAAGATAGCCGCCAAGCTTAAGCAGCACTATAATTTCCTATACCTTAAGGAGAAGGTCAAGAAGGTCATTAATAAGTATAACCTCTATAGATAGAGCAAGTTAGGATAATATAAGCCCTATAGACTACTATAACCCTTGTCTATTACTAAACGACTATAGAGTTTAGTGACAATAGACTTTATTACTAAGCTACTAGAATCTAGGGATACTATAATATAGGTAGTATATAATAGTATTCTTACTATAGTAGACAGGCTTACTAAGTAGATCTATTTCCTACTATATAAGGAAACCTAGATAGTAGAATAACTTATAGATACTCTCTACTAATATATTACTTCGATTTATACTTAGCTAAAGGAGTAGATAATAGATTAAGATACTAAATTTACCTTGAAGTTTTAGTAAGCCCTGATAATAAGACTTAGTATAAGGAGCAAACTCTCGATAGTATACTATATATAGATAGACGGACAAATAGAATAACTTAACTAGATAGTTAAACAGTATCTCCAACTCTATATTAACTTCTAGTAGGATAACTAGGTTAAACTACTACCTATTATATAACTTGCCTATAATACTACTAAGATAGAGATAACGAAAGTTATACTATACTTTATAAACTTTAGCTATAAACTAGACCTTCAATAAGGACCTAACATTAGGGTATCCTAGGCTACTATTAAAGTAGATAAGATAAGCTCGCTCTATATAATACTTAAGGAAGAACTTAAGTTTATAAGAGCTAGGATAAAGAAGTTTTACAACTAGAAAAGGCTCGAGGGACCTTGCCTAGAGAGGGGAGATAAGGTCTACCTTAGTTTATAAAATCTCAAAACCAAACGGCCTAGTAGAAAATTAGACTTTAGGAAAATCAGACCATTTAAAATCGACAAAAAAATCTCGGAAAATAACTATACCCTTATATTACTATCAACTATAAAGTTATAAATAAACGTTTTTTATATTATACTACTAGAACCTATACTAAAAAACTCAAGGCTTAATAAGGATACTGAAGTAGAGGACGAAGAAGAAGAATAGGATATAGAGGAAATCCTTAACTTAAGGATTATAAAAGGGCAACTAGAGTATTTAGTCAAGTAGTTAGACTTCAGGCCTAAGGATAACTTATAGTAACTAGCAAGGAACTTAGTCAATTGCCTAGAGAAGCTATAGGATTTCTACCGTCAATACCCTAATCGCCCTATATAACCAAGGAAGACCAATCAAAACCACCGTTATCGAAAGGAACGGAGGAAGGACTAGAAAATGACGATCAGCAAAAGAAAGAAGTAAAAAAAAAAAAAAAAAAAACCTCCCTATAACCAAGGATAACGGGTAGTTCACAATTATAATAGAGATCGAACCTATAACCTTATATAGCCTATACTTGCTACCCAGAGTAGGGGTAGCGAGCACATTTAAAATGTATATATACTACTACTATACTATATAACCATTTTATTTATTAAAGAACCAAGGAAGGAACACTTACCTAAAAAGAGAAGGATCTAGAGGACCTAGGACACTATTGGCTTAAACAGCTATAACTACCTCTAACTCCTAACGCTCGATCTCTTCTACCTTATCGAGCAAGGCTAAGCTATAATGGACTATATCGTTACCCTTAGTAGGGAGCTGACACTTTTAGCGCCGGATATAGTCCAGGTAGGCAAGGGACTCGTCAAGGTACCTTTATACTTTAAGAAGGGCTTTATACTCTAGATAAAAAGACTCCTCTATATCCTACTCCTTATAGTCAAGCCATTTTAACTTGCCTACAATATAGGACACTAAAAAGGATAGTCAGCTAGGGATAGCTGTAGAGGACGAACCACTTATAAGAGGATATAGGAACTCCCGACCTATTGTATAAACGGCCTCGGTGAACATATTCACTATAACGGGAAGACTGCTCGATCATCTTATATAGGAGACCCTTTAAGTCGTAAAACGAGCAAGGTATAACATTAAAGCCTAATTTATCAATAGTAGAAGCTAGGGCAGAACGCTATAAAGCCTTAGAGGATCTCTTGATAATTTAACCTATTATTATATCAAACATCGTATAGCAAGAAGAGGGAGAAAGGACAGGCACTTACAAGTATAGGTAGTTAGTAGTATTTAAAATAAATATAAGGCTCTTAGGACCAGAGCCTAAAAGGAGGGGCATCGTATTACAAATTGGCCGTATAGGTAGCCAAGGAGACCTACCGGGCAAGACGCAGGACGCCTACCATCCAATCGTTAAAAGGACCAATCAGCAGAGGATCACACTTAGCAACGCGATCCTGGGTAAGGGATCACTAGGAACGCTAGGAGGCTCATCACAAACCCGATGATCTAGTAGCAACAGGATTACCAGGAGGAGGGTAATCCCCTATAGACTTAGATAGTATATAGTCACTCGTTCTAGAGAGCTCTAGGAGTTCTCTAGTAAGTAATATAACTTGTTCGCTACTAATTGCTACGAACATTGAGACTAGATTACTATCTTGTTATAAACCTTTTAGCTTCACCGAATTATAACCCTTATAATATACCTTCAATGAACCCTTTTAGAGTGTGGTTGAGGAACGATTCGTCACACTGTTTAAAATCAATAGAAAGATCTTAGAAAATAACTATACCCTTACCTTACTATTAACTATAAAGCTATAAACGAACGTCTTTTATATTATACTACTAGAACCAGCGTTAAGGAACTTATAATTTAATAAAGATATTAAAATAGAGGATAAAGAAGAAGAATAAGACATAGAGAAGGTACTTAATTTAAGGATTACTAAAGGGCAACTAAAGTACTTAGTTAAATAGCTGGACTTTAGACCCGAGGACAATTTATAGTAACTAGTAGAGAACTTGATCAATTACCTAGAGAAGCTATAAGATTTCTACCGTTAATACCTTAATTGCCCTATATAACTAAAATAGACTAGTTAAAGCCGTTGTCAAAAGGTAAGGAGGAAGAATTAAGGGAAGTAGTAGTTAGTAATAAAAAAAAAGAAATAAAATAAACCCTTATACTGTTCGAGAGAATAGTATAAGACTTTAGACGATTATAATAGGAATTGAACCTATAACTTTATACAACCTATATTCGCTACTTAAAAAGGGGCTATAAGTATATTAAAATATATATATACTACTACTATATTATATAACTATTTCATTTATTAAGAATAAAAGGAGGAGATATCTATTTAAAGAAGGACGGGTCGATTAGAACCGACGAGGAAGGAGTAGCTAAAGGTAGTAGGGAATTAGTCGGGACTATTAATACTAGGGAAACCTTTACTTCTTCCCGTTCTATTTATTCTAGTTCCTCTACTAAGTCGATGTCCTACGAAATGGTATACACTATCTTTTTAAACTATATCCGTTTCTACTTATATAGACGAGCGATTTTAACGTCTAAAGTAGCCCGCTCTACTTTAGCCTCCTTTATCTCGGCTTCTAGGGAATTATATTAAATAGTAATTCGTCAAAGCTACTAAGGAGATAGGCCTTAGGTATTATAGTTAGACTGGTTATTTTAGATATAGAAGGTATAGTACCTAGGACTATTAGGAGAAATCTTATACTTAGTACGACTATACTTTTCATAGTAGGAATAAATATTCTTCATTATAAGGGGTAAATAAGTAAGGGTCTCTAAGAGTGTATTACACTGTACGGTTTTCGGATAAAGAGTCCTTACCCTTGTTTTCGATATACAGTTCGATATCGTATTAGCATTTCGGTGATAAAATAAGGAAGGGGAGGACCTACTTATAGATATAGGCTATTAGCGGTATTTAAATAAGGCTTAGGCTCTCTTAGGTCGAAAGAGCTAGAGGAGGGGTATTATATTATAAGTCAGACTATAGAAGGTAGCCTATAGTATATATAGATAAGGCGCTGGATATACTACTAACTAATCGTTATACAACCAATCAGGAGAGGATCAACTAGATCTCTTTAAGATCTATAAGATCTAACAACATAGATCTATAAAGATATCCTAAGATCCAGCTGACTCGACGGGATCTCGCTAAGATCTATAAGATCCAGGTACAAAGGAACTTCGGGGACAAAGGAATCTCTATAGTATAAGATAGCTAGCTAGCCACTCGTTAAGGGAGTCTGGGACTTCCTCAGTAAGCAATATAACTTGTTCGCTACCAATTGCTACGAACATTGAGACCGGATCATCATCTCGTTATAAACCTTTTGGCTTCACCGGAACACAACCCTTAAGACTTACCTTCAGTGAACCCTTTCAGAGTGTGGTTGAAAGACGTTCCGTCACACCTGTAGAACCCGGCTCGTAAACTCCCTGATCTATATATACGTTGGTGGAAGACCGAGGGCTACCTGGATCAAAACCCACTACGTAATGTAGGCTTCTTACACCGGGCTAAGGATCTGGAGTGATTCGGCTGTAGTTGAATGAGGCTGGTAGCTATAGACCCGGCTCTGGATAGTAGACCGGGGGATACCGAATTCCTGGGCAATTTTTCGAATTGAAGAGCGACTGGTGTGGTATTTTACGACTGTATCTTGTAGATCTTGTTCGGTATAAGCCATCTTATATTGATGAAGATATAGTCAAAAAATGAGCTTGTTTGGCCAAAGATTGACTGAGTTGTGGTAAGTTGAAGATGCAGTGGTTGAAAAAGCGGTGTGGTTGGAGAAGTGGCCGAAATGTGGGGTGGCCGAAATCCAGGGTGCCCGACTTACCCCTAGAAATTCTCCTGGAAATCGCTTGTCTTCTTCCCGTTCGCGAGCTCCGTAATCTGCGCTTTGTAAACCGCTCTCTCGCTTATAGCGTTAATCCGTTACTCTTCAGAAGCCTATCAGTAGTCAACACAGAGGAGCATATTGAGGAGTTGATAGAGTTCGCAACGCAAAACCCTGTACTGGCTTTGTTTACGCGAAAGTTGACGGTGTTCCATGCTTCCTGGCAGGTCTGTGAACGGCCGGCTTGGGAGAACCATCCTCTGCTATTCGGCGGAAAGGAAATATCTATCAGTCATAGAAAAAGTGCAGCGGCGGAGAAAGCCTTTAAAAACTACACAGAATTTGTGGTTCGGGAGTCATCACGGGACTGCTCCGACATTACGTCCCTTATTTCGATATTTCAAAACCTACAAACGGGTAGGATATCTCATATAAAGCGAGTTCCGCTGATGAAAAATGCACAATGCCGCCGGTTGCTGAGGAGAATTTGCCTGGGACCGTGTGTCAGGGACTCGGTGTTCAAGAGCGCAACCTTTCAGGCTTTTAAAAGCATCCCCAACACTATAAAATTGGATATTGACGAGCCGCGAAGTTTATGCACCGGATCAGCCGAGGAAACGGGTTAGTAGGTCGTCGGGAAGCTGTGTGGCAGTTTGCGTATTCAGCTACATATTGCTACCTATTCATATCTGACTAGCTGTAGTTGTCATTTATCGAGTACAATTTTAACCAAACATAGGCTCTAATATTACGAATCGTTACCATCTCCCCACAATACTTGCAGCATGTGCTGCGCCGGCCCGAAGTGACAGGCGACATACCATCCCTAGGCGATACCGGAGTCTCGGCTCCAGGCGGTAAAATTTGGACATGTTTTTCTTTTTGAGTTACGGGGCTGAATGAGTTTGTATATCTGCTCGCTTTTCTTCTTGATGTCAACGAGGGCTTTGGGCGTTTGGATATTTCTTCGTTCTGGGCGTATATTTGCGTGCTGATTTCTTCCGAATGTCTCCCGTTGTCCAAGATATAGGTACTTTGGTGAGACTTTTGCGGCTGCACCTTGTATCTCGTTCCGTAAACAACATTGTAGTGATGAGTGAAGCTATCCCGAGGCGACATCCTGATTGATCTGTTGAAACTTTCGTATGGCAGGGGTTGGTGAGTGGGAGATAGTGTACTTAGTATGATGAACAACTTCAGCTAAGTCAAGGAGGCGGTGACCTTTTAAAAACTCTCCGTTGGTAAACATGTAGCCTTGGTTGTGGTCCCGCACATGTGTGCCAGAGCCGTGGTTGCGGTTGCCAACAGAAGTCTTCTCTCCATGGGATGAGCTTTCATGACTAAGCGGACCATCTATTTTGCTGTGAAGCGTGCCGCCAGAGTCTTCGATGTGGAGCTCAGCCTCTGCGGGCAGTATTCCCACTTCAACCTCCATAATCAAGCTTGGAACCCCGGTGGCGCGCGGCGTCCCATCTGACCACAATCTTTCCCAAGCCACAGTCTTATCCGGGTGTCGTGAACATAGAGATTCGAGCTCCCCACGGGTCTTCTTGAGCGCGCGGCGATTTTCGTGGAGGCACTTTCATGATAAATTACCCTCTGGCTCCTGGCTTCAAAGGGCTTGAGGGAGCTGTTGACACGGAGGACGACTTCTTTGGAGGATGAGAGAGGCGCTTCTAGTGATAGCTCCACCACGAACGCTACCATCACTAGCCCTGAGAGGGCATCCACCACCG